GCGTCCTCGCTGGCGCATTGCGTTCTACGTGGCTTACCTTTTAGACGCGCGAAGGCATGAGGTAGCCGACCAGGAAGCGCGTTTCGACGCGGCTTGGGAGGACTGGGATTGGGGTTCGGCGAAAATGGCGGAGAGTTGTGCAGAGGGTAGCTTTACAAAACGTTGTCTAACGACGGGTAGGGTGTCACTGTGCAAAATCAGCTAATGAGATGTTAGGATTCATAACAAAGTTAAGCAGTTCGGGAATACCGCGTCCGTGGTACGCGGTCTCATCCGGGTACCATTTGTCGCCTGCAATGCGTCTGAGCTCGGGCAGGCGTGTCCACGGGATGCGATTGAAGTCGTGGTGTTCGACATGGTAGCCGACGTTGAGCGTGACCCAATTGCCGATACCGTAGTACGAGTAAGTGGTGGGGCGGTCGTCGGTGGTGCGCATGTTCTTGTCTCCGTTGTAGATGTGGCGCTGGACCTGGCGTGTGTTTGCGGGGTGCAAACCCTGCGAGTTGAGCAGCGACAGGACGAAGAACAGGAAAGTGGAGCGCGAGTACAAGAATGATGACAAACCAAACGAGATGCACGCGACCCAGTTGAGGACGAGGAAGCGGTCCACGATGACCGGCAGGCGCATCATGGAGCGGGTCGGGAGGATGATCATGTTGAACATGAGCCAGAGGGCCTTGCGCAAGGGGCTATTCCCCACGAGGCTGATTTCGTAGTCGGTCGGGACGTCGACGTCAAACTCGTCGTTCCCCAGGTTGCGATGGTGCTTGCTGTGGTGCTGGCGGAAGATCTCGCTGATCGGGACGATCATGGCGACGTTGGTGGCGATGGAGAGGAGGCGGTTGTAGACGGGGTTGCGAAACACGAGCATGTGCGTGGCCTCGTGCATGAAGCAGAGGACGCCGGCATTGACGTAGGGTCCAAAACAGATGCCGCACACGATGGCGACGACGTACGAATCGCGAGAGAGGTAGGCCAGGGTCATCTGGCAGAGGATGCACGCGTAGGCATAGAACTGGGTGCGCGGGTCGACGCCGTACAGCTCGCGCACGGACGGGTGCTCGCGCAGAATTCGCTCGCGCCGCGACACATGCAGCTCCCAGTGCGGCTTCGAAACGTGCTTGGGCGCGTGCTCGGGGGTCGGCGGCGGTGAGACAGCCGGGCGGTGGAGGATGTTGCCATCGGGCATGATGACGGAGGGGAGGGGGGGAGGGAGGCTGCATCATGTAGGCGTCGGTGTCCAGGACAC